AATGAAGAACATATTAGGAATCGTGTTACAGTACCGGCCTCACATTCACATTTCACCACCTCAGGAAACCGCGACACAGCAGCAAACACATTGACTTGTCCTCTTTTTCTGCTTACAGTTATTTCAGTTATAAGATGGAAAGTTTTGTCCAGTCACTCAGATCATTAGAGATGGCGATTCGTATGAAGAACTTCTTTAGTTCATGTACACTTGTTTAGTGAACTTGTTGAGTTCATTGTTGCAAATTCCAAAGTTGCCTTTTTTCTTTTTCTTAGAGCAGAACATTTTATCCTTGCTTATTCACAGTCAATTTTAAAAAATTATGCAATTGTAAGACATGTTAGCTATTATTATAGCAGGCTGCTGGTTGTAGATATTTTTAAAGAATCTCTTATACTCTTAAGTACCCTTATATAAAAATCACATAGCTGCCGGACATGTGCCAAATCAGCAGTTAAAAGGATAATTTCTCAGGCTGGGAGAGCCTTCCTTTACATTGCATAAACTCCAAGCAGTGTTCTTGGCTGTTACATCTTTAGCTATTTAAACACTACAGCAAGGAAACCTTTGCTGAGTTAGAGTTATTAATGAAACAATATTCTATGTGTTTGCTATTTTTAAACTTGCCAAATTGCTAAGGGTACAAAAGTGTTAAGAAAAAACATGCTAGAATGTTGTAAAACTGCAGCAGACTTTTCTGATGTGGACTAAATCTAATTACACAGAAAATATCAGTTAGAAAAAACACACTTTGGGTCCCAAGAATTCTGTATTAGATTTCATCCATCACTAATTGCTTAACTGTTTCCTGTGATAAAACTGTATCTGTACAGTTGAAAGGCCAAAACCTTTTTCATGTTAGGAGAGGAGATTCCCCATTAAAAAATAAGTACAGAGGATAGGCTCCATCTCAAGTACTCTGCAGGTGAGTAAGCAGGCTAGGTCTTAACTTCTAGATGCTACAAGAAGTTTACTGAAGTGAGTCCCAGTCCAAACAATTTATACAATTACTGCTACTCAGTTTTCCCTATGCCATATGTAACAATCACCTGCAAGAGCTGCTAGTCTGCGGAAGCACCATCTTCCATCTGTGTAGCTTAGTGCTGATGGAATTTGATGGCAAGCCCTAAGCAGAATCCTTGGATAAACAAAAATTTGCATTTCCAGAACAAGAGACTGAATGTTGATTCAATGTAGTGAATGAGAATCAGGAATAACCAGGCATGCCTTGCACAAACATAATTCCTCGGAGGGCCACACTCGCCAAAACTGATCAACCTCTGAATGCACAGCAGAGTTATCTTTTACAGTTGAAGGAGTATGACTGCAATATTTTTACAGAATAAACATCATATGCAGCAATGCTTTTGCTACATCAAGAATCTCAAAACTGGCCTTTAATTCGTAGTGGAGAAAGTGCCTACACTACGCAAAGACATACTTCTTTGGAGTGTTGTCGGATGAAGAATGGAAACACTACGAGCTAACCAGAATTAACAAGCTAAACAGAGAATGAAAGTCATACAACAACTACTTATCTTAGTGCACAATTATGGACTGTGCTCTCTATGACTCAGTCTAGCATAACAGTATTTTTTCAGTGCAATTTATGTAACTTTGTACAAAGCCTAAAATAGCTTAACAAATAAAAGATTCCCTTTATGATGTCAGATTGAAGTTTGTAACTGTGTCTTTTGTGCAGATGCTTTTCCTCAATTCTACTTGTCTTTAGATATGTGTTTCCTCAAATTGTGATGCTTCTATCTCAAGGGAATCCTCAAAGGAGAGTTCAAACAAGGTCATAAAGTGTTTAGACTACTCAGAGAACAGCTAATTGCCTAGCTGCTGCCAGCAATTAAAGGTAGTTACCTGTTCCCTAGAGAATGTAAATACTTGCAGCAGTTGCAACCACTTTTCCTTCCTCCTAATGTGGAAGAACTACTCACCCTCTGAGAAGAGGGAAATGGTAATCAGAGGGGCTCAAAAGGGAGACAGACTCACAAAACTGGAGAAACACTGCATTGGATGATGTTTCAGCAGCCTATCATACAGTTTCACTACTACATTGTGGGTTTTTTTTCTACACACACACTTCAGGCAGGGTGAAGATGGTCCATCACACTTCACACCATAGAAAGCAAAGTCTTCATCGTAAAAGGCAGCAAAATGACCCCAAACAACAACAAAATGTCAAACCATGCAGCATTTAACATGTAGCAAATACTCAGAGGGTCTACCAGCTAAAACTCTGGCTAAACACTGCCCTCCAACAGAACTCATCTGTCTGCCCACATGCTTTTCTTATACAAATTTGTCTGCAACAAATTAGTTATTAGAGTACATGGATATATTTGCATGATGTGGAGGAAAAAAAAATCTCACTTTTTTTCTTGCAACTCTTGTCCTGCAGGCATTAGTTATTGGAATAATTTTGAGGTTTTCAAGTAACTAGAGCATGTTCTGGGGATTCCTGGGAGTTGCAAACTAAGATTAGGTAAATGGAACATAATCAGTTTCTTCAATCCAGTAAAGTAGATGTTTTAGCTTACGTAGAGCTTCAGAAATTGGATGACTGCAAGTACTACAGAACTGCAAAATCTCAATGGATCAATAGAATGAGTAGGTTGGCAACCTCCTTCTCATCACACTGCAACACGTGCAGAAAGCTTCCCATGGTTACAAGCATCTTCATGTTATCTTGTTCAGAAGCCTGTTTTCCTTTTTTAATCTTTACCCTCTTCTGTGACAGACTTTTTAGCTGAGCCAGTTTGCTTCCCAATCCAGCTTTCCAGTTACGTGTCTCTTAAAATCTGTGTTTATGTTTGATATGGTTTGAAGCTGGCTCCTTGCCAAGTCTCCAAACCTTACCACCAGAAGTACCCCCCCAACAAAAAAAAAACCTCAGGGAGAAGAGGGAGAAAGAACTAAGAAAAACCCGAAAACGAGAGAGACAACCAAAGTGATATATATAAATATATTTACACTTATATACAACTTCACAAGGGAAAGGGAAAGGGGAAGGGGAAGGGGAAAAGGAACAAAACTAAACTAAACTAAACTAAACTATATATATATATATATATATATATATATATATATCCCAATCAGTAGCCCGAGATCTAGTAACTAAAGAACAAAAGAGTTAGCAAAGAAGATATCTCACTACTCTCCTGGGACAACCGAGAGTCGCTCCGGAACGATTGCCGGCAACCTCTGTCTCCCAAGGTCGGCAAGGCCTAACCAGGCCTCGCTTCCCAGCACGGCAGACTCAACAGCAGGGAACCTGCACCTCCAAGCCGCCGGAAGGAAAGAGAGAGCGAAGGCCTCTCCTCCTCTCTTCTTATAGTCTGGCTTACGTAAAAATCGTAGGGAATACTGGGTAAATCTGGACCCTTCCTTGGTTACAAACTGGTCACCAAGGAAGGCCTAGCCCAAACCACCACAATGTTTTAGCACGAGCAACTGTTTGATAGTTTGTTAGTGAACAACTGTTTGTTAATACTTAACGTTAAGAACTATTAGCTACACAAACATTTGTTGATCTTCAAAATACCCTTCCATCTATTCTTTCTCTCCACATTACTCATGTTGAAAAGGTTGAGTATTAAATGTAGTTTGTATTTGTTTGGAATTGGTTTTTTTTAAGGAGGTCATCACATCATGGATTTATATCAGTTTCACTTCAAATGTGGTGTGACATTTTCCAGCTTCTAGCCCTCTGGTTACAGCTGCTGCAGCCTTGCCTTTAATTTGCATGGGGGAGGGAGGGTTCATTGGAGTTGCTTCAAGGCTTCACAAACTGTTGACAGAAGGCAGACATGAAATGCCTCATTGAACCAACTCCAGCCCCAATAAATGCAAACAATTCAAAGCTGGAACTATCTGGCAGCTGCAGCTGATTTGAGAAATTTTTTGTTGTGCCAGGAAAATCTTTTTCTTCAATGAGGCTGTCCCTGGAATATATTAGAAGCCACAAAACACAGAACAATATCCTTGGTAAAGACATTATTTTCTTCTCTGTAGTATCGCTTAAGATAGGTTGGAAAATTCCTATCATTCAGGAAGGCTGAGAAAAGCCTGAGATGCTAGTTTTGATTTACTTGCCAGTCATTACCTGAAGATGTTTGTCTGAATAGGTAGAGATCTATAGCTGCAAGTGTACATGGAATTGCATGGGGGAACATGAACATGAAAGCCGCAAGGGGAAAAGGGAAAAAGGCTGTAATGTGGTCACAAAGCATTAACCCCCATTAATTTCAGTGGGATTAGGGAACAGCCATAACTACCTGGACTAGGGCACAAGGGAGATCCAGTCAATCCCACGTGTTTTGGTGGCATGAGCTACCACTTGGTTTTGCGGTACTCCCATCTAAGGAGGCTGGAGAACATGAGCAGACCCAGAGCAGCAGTACAGCTCTGACATTAGCTGACAAGGGGCTTCTGCCGAACCCAGCTGCCCTGTTTCCCATCTCAGTGCATGGCACTGGGGCTGCTCCGTGCAGGTAACAAAGGCAGAGTGACCAAACCAACCATCAGAGATACCTCCCAGTTGCTCTGGTCCAGAGGGGCACGGGTAGAGGGGTGGAAGCAATTGTGTGGCAGAGACAGGCTACCTCTGCAACACCAATCTGAGGGTGACATTTTTAACAGAAGTGCAGAACTTATTGGCAGCAGTACCTTGGACTTCATGCAACTGCATTTCCAGAAACATTTCATTTCTTAGCTGGGGTGAGGCGCAGGTAGCTGCAGTGTATTCTCTTCACCTACGGCCACCAGCCTGTGAACAAGCCCCCCACATTTTCTCTGCCAAGTGTCCCAGCCATACCAACAGCAGGGCACTGAGATGTCCTGCTCCTGCACAGTACCTGTTATTGCAGATAAGAGGCTGTAGCCTCTACTACAGGACTCTGTAGTCATAAACGCCCCTGGAAAAGCAGCATGGTGCTAACACTCCACCACAGTCTGCTCCAACAGAAAGTCCATCCATGAGACATCAGCAGTAAGGAAAATCAATCACTACTTGACACTGTTTTTATTCATAATCCAATTACAGAAGAGAGATTTTGTTGTCACATAATATTTCTTAATGTTACCATGATGGCACAAAGCACAAATTCACTATGAATTTTTGTGACTTGTACCTTCTCAGAAATAGCTTCTGCCTTGGAATCATGTAGGACAAAAATAGCTTACCTTCCATCACTGATGAAGTCTGTAAAAGCCACCAGTCAAGCTCTGCTTGGGCAGCTGCCTGCACTCATCAGGCTTTTAAGAGGGAATTTGGTGGACAACGGGCTGCTCTGTTGAATGCATCTGCACAGATTTATATGTACTCTCATTTTCATAACTGTGCATCTTCACAGTGCCTCTTTTCAAAGCTGTCTGACCTACATGTGAGAAGCAGCAGTTATTTTCTTGGAAGTGAATTTCTTGGTATAACTGAATGGTGCAGTTTTATTTTTTTTTAAGAAAGGTCTCTGATGAAGTTAGTAAAGCTGTCTTTTGATTTTGCTGTAGAGAGCCCAGCAACACGCATTTACCAAAATAAAGCAAACAACTGAAGGAAATAATAGCAAAGCAGCAATATAGGTGAAGCTTCGATTTGAACAGCACATTCTAATTTAGGTGGATGGTAGGGGAAGAATATGCTCCCTTCTGACAATCATACCTGTCCCCTTGAAGCCTCCATGGAGTTATAAACAAAGTTTCATGAGTTACTTCATTGTCTCCATCTGCTTGGTAATAAACCAGTTTACAATTGTGAAGTACAGATTTGTGCCAATAACCGTGCAATTAACACTCTGGTTTGCTTTTTTTTTTAAACTGGCCACATAAAAGTGATGGTGAAGCCTCCTGGAAAACAACTAAACCCAGCTGTATGTCACCTGTGGACAGGCATTTTCAGGGGGGATTCTGGCTCAGCGGCAAGGATGGCTTCTAGTTCGAAAGGCAACACTGTATTGGCCATGGGCTCACAGAGGCTGTCAGAGGAGTCTGGTGCCTGTTCTCCTGCAAGCACTGCCTCTGCTGCACTTCTCTCATTTAACAAACCTGTTGCCTGTCTGACAGAAGCCAAGGCCAAGAAAGAGAAAGAAAACTGTTATAACGAAACTCAGGAACAGCAGGTACAAAGTGTGAGGAGGGAAAAGCCTTAGGAAATAAACAGATTTCTTGGAAAATGGAGAAGAGAGCTACAGTGGCTTGGATGGTTATTTATGAACCGCTGTTGTGTCCAGCTCAGGCAGCACGATACTCTGAGCACTGAGAGAGGATTATATTCTATCTACATTATTCCTCCTCAGTTGTTTACTCAACCAGATGGGAAAATCTGCATGCAAACAGCAGGAATGCACAGAAACATGAGTGTTTACCTCTACCTTATAAAAAGATCTTGTCTCACAAGCTTAATAAGGTTTATTCCCACTGCAAAATAAATTTCTCAATACTTAATTTTAGGTGATACATTTTGTAGATGCAGCATTTCTGTTAGCCTTTTACACAATATGGCATATAAAGACAATTACTTGTGTTTTGTACAGTGTATTTATAGATTATAAACTGTTGAGTGCCTTGGAATTTATGAACCAACTTTCACCCAAAAATACATTAGTAGTGTAGTTAGTCAAAACTAACTTTAGAAATTCCCAGTTACCAAAAATGTCTACTATCCCAAAGCAAAATTTTTCTAATGTATAATCTATTTTGATTGAAATGTAGTCCAAACCTTGTATATAAAATCTAACATTTGAAACAGTGGGAGTTTATCAATACATTACATTATTCCTCAGTGGCCTTTTAAGATTCAATAATTTCTAAGAGATTCAACAATTTCTACTGTTCTGCTGTTGTCTGTGGAACAGGAGAGAAAGAAAATTGGGCAACTGGAAAAAAAAACTGTTTTTGTAACTATAAACTTGATATATCTGTAAATCATCTTTAGTTTGATATTGAAATCTATTAAAAAGCAGGCAATATATTTAATCAGAACCACTATGATTCAAGATTTAAGGGACTAACATTACTACAGAAGTATCAAGTTCTTTTGCAATGACAATTCTGATGTCTGCAAAGCAAGCACCTATGTGTTGTTATAAGCTAAAATCACTTCAAAAAGGTCTCTGAATTGTAAAAGTTACCAGTTAGAATTAAATTCAAACAGAGAAGTTCCTGTTATCCAGCCTCTGCATTGTTTGGTCCACATTTACCTAATAGGTAAAATACAAACACAGTAACTACAAATGCTTACTCATTTAAAAGAGAGAGGCTAACACATGTTGATTAAAGCTAGCCCAGGAAATAGTACTCAGAGCTAAGTATTTCAGCACTGAGAATTGTGGAGTCACTGATAAAAACCAGAAAGCAGCTTGACTGAAGAAGTTGTAGATCTTCTTATGAGAATCAGTCCAGTCCAGAAGCATAGTTCACATAACATCGAAATTCATTGGCTAAATTTCGCAAGTGTTTTGGAATAAACTTGCACATCTTCACACCAAGATGCTTTGCTGCCTGTTCCTCCATGATGGCACCTGCAGCAAAAATAATTGGTATTCAATAAGAAAAACAGTAACAGAACGTTTGGACTTTTTTAGTAGCTCCTCACAAATGCATATATAACAGGGCCTGTTTTTTTTTACGGAAGGAAGGCTTAAAGCAGCTACACTGTCAGCCTTCCTTAACAACTGAATCTATTGAGAAGTTTAAAATAAATCTAAAAGAATGAAAGACACCCCAAGGAAATGAATGTCCAAAAACCTTCATAAAAATAGGTAGAGGGTATCAGTGTCCTTTATACAGAAAAGAAATTTGAACTCAGTCTTCTTGCTACATACCAAGTATGTAGCAAGTTAAATGGTAGGGAGTCATGGGAAATGCAAACAGATTACATATACTCTTCCACTTAAATAAACCACAGCTACACACTGAGAAATCACTTCTTGAGCAGTATTTCTCAAACTTTGTAAACTGAAGGACCACCTACCCATTTTAGGCAGAACTAACCTTGTGCGTGACTGCTATGAGTAATTAAGCCAAGAAATAGACTTTCTATGGCCACATTTTGTTTTAATTTTTTATTTATTTTGCCTGCTTTGTTGACTTCCCCCAAGTTGTATGTAAAAAGGGCTTTTGTCCTTTGCTTTTTGCAAGTTTTCCAGATGTCTTCAGATGTCTTGTAATAACAATACAGTTTAGGAAATGACACGACTAAGGCAGATACACATCACTTCTTAAATCAGCAAGTGCATTTTCATAAAGAAACACCTGCAAGTACCATTATCTAGTTATCTAGTTTCACTGCTTTTATCACTGGTTTTTAATTTCTCCTGCTGTATTTCAGTGCCTAGGATACCAACAGTAAGTTGCACCTATGTTTGCCATACCTCGATTTCAATCATTGCAATTACAGAGAGTGGCCTTCTTACAAGAGAAAAAGTATTTCTGGAACTTTGCAAGATGATCTTATAATTCTTCCAAAATTCAGTAAAACTCATAATGCTGTAAGAAAAAAACCTGACTTTCAAAAGTCCTATTAAAAACCATTTCCTCTAGTTTAAAACAAAGGTTGAACTCAAGTATTCAAATATAAAGCTTAGGATACACACTGCCCCTTAAATTAATGATAATTTAATATTATAGAGTTAGTATTTCTCTCACATGAGTGAGTTTGTCTTTTGAGAGAGAGAAAAAGATCCTTATGGGGACCTAATATTTTTATTAGTTATACCTGTGCAAAGCAGTATCTTTCCTTTTGTCAAGTATTTGATCGTCTCTGCAGTTTTCTGAAGACATTCCTCCGACAGATAGGGTGGATCTGCTATTACAATGTCAAAACTGTGTGGCAGGAGATTTTCAGGTAAGTTTAAAGGCTGGTTGTAATCATAGAAGATAAATTCTTCTCCATATACAGAAAACCTTCTGTCATACTCAAGTATACACACTGAAAAATCTTTACCATCCAGTTCTTTCAGTTTCTGGTACACACTCGGTGCACTAACACATGCTATCCTGAAAAAGACACAATAACTTAGAATATTGATTTAAAGGGCAAACAACAGCAACAAACCCCTACTCCAGTCGTCTTAGCTGCTTTGGGAAAAACATTTTTAAACATTAGTCCCCAAAATGTAAGCCATTCTTTCTCCATTCTAACAACTAATTACTTAAATAACTTTAAGCCATTACCTATTCAACCTCCATGCTGCACAAAGACCTGAAGCCTAACTACAGAGAAAATCTTGTTTCAGAAAAGCAAGAAAATATACTTGAACTTTTTCCATCTGTTCTACAGAAACATTGTATAAAACCAGAGAAAATAATTACAAGTTATTAATATGCTCTAGAGCTCTCTGTATTTCTGAAAAATAAAATGATTCATAGTAAACTTTAACAAGACACAGCCTACAGCATTCAGTAAAATGGTAAATGGGAAGATCAGTATAAACTATTAACTAAATAACAGCAAAGCAGTTCTGCAATATTGCAGTTGAACAAAGATGAAGTACAATGAGTAATGAATTAAACTGCATGCTCTATGTAGTAGAAACAAAAGACATGTTAAATCTACAATGCCATTATTAAATCCTACCTGCCACCTTCTCCAGCTGCCACAACCGCTTCCTTGGCCAGGCACGACGCAGTTTCATCGCTGTACCAAAACTGGCTCAGTTGCTGAGAAATAATGCACAATTACAAACAACAGCAAAACTTTTGTGTTATGTACAGTGAGGTGTGGTGAGTCATAACTGAAGAAAACCAAAATCCACATCAACTTCTCAGTTCATGAACTGTAACGCTGGAAAAGTAACTATTTTCCTGACAGTCTTTCTACTTCTGTAATCCAGGTAGCTTACACCACATGTTTCCAAAGCATGTATGGCACTATCAGGAAAACAAGGTAATCCAAACCACTGACAAGGCTATTTCAAACCCCATGTGCAGATGCACAATACTTATGTGCTCTTAAATTGAGTTACTTTAGCAGAAGAAGAAAAAGGACCTTGAAAAGTGACAGTATAGAAGGAAATAAAGGATAAAACTACTAAATCAGAAGGGATCAGGAAAAGGAAGAGCAAAAAAAAAACAAACAATCCAGAGACAAATCAAAAGTCAGTCTGTCACAAATAAAAACAAGCAGTGAAACAGCCATCCACAAAAACAAAGAAATAAAACACAGAGAGAAATATGAAGTAAAAGGAAAGATCACTTGATCTGGTTACACTGTGTTTGTCTCAGTCTCAGGGAGGAGTCTTCACTACCTTCACATGCCAAACTCAAGTTAAAATTTCCAGAAGGGACAGATGTTTCTATCAGCATCTTTATTCCCCCTCCATGTACTTTCAGTTTGTACTCCGCCACACATATAGAACAGACAACTATACCCAGATTAAATAGTAAAACAAATCTCCCTACAGTGTTGGCATCCATAAATAGGAACAACTTGAGTGTTCCCCTTTTTAATTCAATTTCATTATCCATCCACAAAAGAAACTCAGTAAAGGCTACTCCTCCATCTGTGCTTCATTCATCAAGGTTTATAGTTTCTTACCCAATCTTCTTCTATTGAGCCAATGGAATATTGATTAAACCCTTGGGAGGTCTTCATGCCCTCTCTCTGCTGCTGTTCCAAATAGAACTCCTGGAGGGCAGCCAATGTATGGGATGAAAGCTGGGGAATGTCATCATCATCATCATCCATTTTCCTAGACATCAAACAGAAAAAAATAAATTCATTAAATCAACCTTTTCAATGGTGAATGCTTTTAATAACAGTATAATCTCCTGAGGTAAAACAAATTCCACCAACAATGCAGCTAAAAATAAAAACTTCCTAACAAAAGAAAACATATTCTGTCTACTTAGGTGGTCTTAAATCAGTGAGAGGCCAATCAGAAATAACACATCTCCACAGAGAATTTAGGAACAGTAGCAACACTGTTCCCTTTCTGTACTACACAGATTTGGCTTGTATTCTTACAAGGAAGCTGTCATTACAGTTCTTGGTTTCCTGAATCCATATACTTTGTATGTATCACCTTTCAGAAAAAAACTCCTTTAGTGGATTTGAAAAATCCCATAGAAATTATTCCCTTTTCTCCTAGAAATAATGATAGCTACTGGTCATTCCTCTCCATGTTCAAAGTTACACAATTTTGACTCAAAATTAAGTAATCCAGCATTCTAGGTCAGTATCACCTGGCTTTAACTTCCTTGCCATAAAAAGATTCTTCTGAATGCCAGAAACCTAAAAAAAAAAAAAGAAAGGCAGGCAAGAAGCTCATAAAGATGTTTTTCTAACCCTACTCCATTGAAAGCTTGTGCATTTTGCGTGTAAAAACCTGGACATAACTTGTATCAAAGAGACACGGTATATACTAATGGAAAAGTACAGCCATTTCCAGAGAACTCTTGACGTGGGTTCTGCTGCGCAGAACGCCTGAGCCCTGCTGACCCCAGGCAGTGCAGCAGAGTTTGTGTCCTCTGCAGAAGGGACAGTGCCACCTCGTGGAACGATGGTGCCAGAAATGACCCAGCACGTGGAAACTACTGGACGAAACCTGAAAATATTCTTCTTTGAAGAAACCCATTTTCTCTGCACCCAATCTCAGAACTAGCACACAAGCAATGACTTTAGCAGAACCTGGAAAGAGGAGTATGCCTGACCTTATGCAGAAGCCACTGAGAACCGCGTGCCACCTGAACAGTGCGTAAATGTGAGTCATTTCAAGTATAGCCACTCAGGGTTTTTCTTCTCCCTGTCCCCTGGACTGCAATGAGAACTCCAGTCTCCTCCCCGTCAACCCTTCCTTCTACTCTTGCAGAGCTTTCAAGATGAAGTTTCCTAAAACAGCTTCTCCCTGCTTGCTGGAAAAAGATACCTTAACCTGCCACTGTGAGGTAACTCACACAGTTACTCTACCATTCCGGTGACACTGTATGCACCTACATGGGATAAGAGGAAAGCGCTTGGCTTTTCCAGAATATTGCTTACTGACTTGCTGGTTTCTCAGGCCAGGCTTGCAAAACAGGGGATCGTTCAAAGCCTAAAAACCCACCTATGGTGTTAGCCTCAAGCAAGAGGAGAATTTCAAAGTCAAGCTACCTAATAAGATCAAAATTGCAATTTCCCCCCCTATTTTTAAAAATAAATACATTATTAAATTATGTATTAAAGTATTTTTTATAAAAATGACTGCAAGTTCAGACAGATAATACAGTTTCTAGACACAATGCTCTTACAATACAAAACACTATGATCCATTTTAGACCCTATACAACAATTAATTTTCATTAGGACATGTTAAAAATTTAAAATCGCTCCTTAACTCACAACTTTTTTTTTTTTTTATTAAGTGACTGATACATGTAGTAATCTGGTTTGCTATTATCCCCTAAGCAAGGACACATCTGTGCTTTGACACTAAGAAACTGAAACAGACACAAAGTTGCAGTTCTTAAGTCAAAAGCTGGAATCTTTATTTTCTCTTCAGTGAGCCCATACAGGCATTTGCAAGGACTAAATCCATGCCCATGAAATGAAACCCTCACAGACAAAATTGCTGATGAAGAATTTCCCACTGTTTCAGTAGATAAAAAGGCATACTCCCATAGACATCTTTTATCTATTAATAATTTTTCAGTTTACTTTTTAATAGCCTTCCTTTTGGTTTGTAAATTAAAGCCTTAGGAACTAAGCAGTAATTAACTGTGAGGTTGCAAGGAGGGGTAACTCAGAACATATGGTAGAAATATATTGTACATCTATTATGAATACTCCCAAAATTCAATATATTTTTCTGAATGCACATATTCTGACTTAGGTCATTAGCATGAACAAATTCTTGCGCTTAAGAACTACATTAGAAAACTGTTAAAGTGAGTTTATGTGAAAAAGACTTGTAAATCCTTTAAGGGAGACAGTTCTGCTGTTTGAAAGCCCCTCTATACCCCTTCCAGTTCACTGCTCTCAAGTCCAGAAGCAACCCTGAAACATTTGGGGGAGGATGGGAAGAAGCACAGAAACCCACAGTGCCTCTGGCTCTCAGGGAACCTTTACACTCTTAATTCCCAAGGCCCCTGAGGCTCCAGCTGACCCATCTGTGCTTGCCCCAGGCCCTGGGGTCCCTCACCAGCAGCCCTTGCTCTATCCTCGTGTAGACTCCCTACATGAGCCACACAAGGGTTCAGGGCTGCTTTTTAGGAATGCCCTGAGATTCAGAGCATTCATAGCACATACAGTGCTGATCCAGCCATTCTACCTACACTAAACCCTTGTGTGAACAGGAATACAAAGACAGAACACGTAGTTTGCTCCAGAGGTTAGATCCTTCTAGATCCACAGCGCTACTCAAGAGGAAGCTCCTTTCATACAGGTAAAAGCAGGCAGGAGGTGGGATCTACATTTACAAAGCCACCTCAAAAAATACTCTCCTGGTAAAGTACCCAATTGCTGCTTCAGAACTTTTACCAAGAGACTGCATCAAAGGTGACTCCAACATCTCTCTGCCGAAGAGGCTGCGTCAGCCTAAACCCGTACCTGTAAGTCAGGGCTCCCTGAATGCCCACACAACTTGGAAATACCGTTTGCTGGGTGTACAAGCACTGTTCATTCTTTTGTGGCATCCTAAAGATGTCATCTCGTAATAAAATGTCTTTTAGCTGAAGGGGAAAGGAGAGACTGCTGAAAGGCCATGGAATAGAAATACAACTGGAAAGCCACGCTGTTCATTGCTGGGAAGGGGGAGGAAGAGCACAGTGCAGGCGCCTTAGATCTTTTACTGACAATATAAAAACCACATGTACAACTTCAGAAAAGATCTTATTCTAGAGTAACTTGGATCTAAAGACAGAGAGCATGAAATGGAGTTAAATATAGCTGTCTGTATTTCTTCCAAGCTGCCCAAGTCAGTCTTTGAGACAAGCAGCTCACCATCTATGGTGTCTGTAGCACACACCAAGAAAAGCTGGGCAATGGTGCACAACCATAATGAAAATCACCTGGAAGGGGCTCCAACCACCTGCCTGGAGGTAAACAAGCCCTGATCTGAGGGACTAGAATGGTTACTAAAGGCCGGACACATGCCCTGATACTTCAAAAGCTGGAAGATACTGCACTCTGCTCAAGCTTGAGCTTGTTATCATGTACAGGAATCCAAATGCTGTGTCCACAGACAACCTGCCACAGATCTGAGACAGCTCCATTTCAGGATTAAGTTTGAATAACTTTTTGTTCATGTCCATGGCAAATGGTTCAAGAAGAAAGCTGTACTAGTTCAGGTCAAGCGTTGATACCAGTCATTCTTGTGTCCTGAAGGGTTGATACTGGTCATTCCATCCTGAAGACAGCCAAAACGACTGCCTCAAAAGGACTGAGGTAAGGTAAATACATGTGATACCTCCCCACTCTATATTCTCACAGACTTTAACCATTTTCTACTAAGGAAGCTGTTTTTGCATCCAAAGCGGTTCATTCCATGAATGCTGTTCTCAGAAACACTTGTCCAGTATCCCTCAAATTCCCATAGAAGTTTTTTATCTACAATATCATCTAGTAAGAAGCTTCATTTTATCAATCATTTTATGAATAACTATCTCTTCTTGCTGCGACAGCATGCACTCGCTTCACATGGCGCAGACACTTGGTGTGTCAGAACAGAAAGCAAGTGGTTGAGCCCTACACTCTCTCCACGTGTCATTTCACTGACACCTCTAAGACATCCCCTTTCCCTCACACAGCAAACTGGCTCTTTTCTAGCCTGAAGGGTCTTAACCCTCTCTGATGGGTTGACAAAAGTCTTTCGATGCATTCACTCTTCCTTGTTGAATCCTTCTAATACACCCTTTTTTTGAGGAGACTAGAACTCTACACAATGTCTAAGATACGAGTGATCACATTTATGCTGTTGTTTCATGATGTTTTCTGTTACATTCTATTTCTTTTCCCAAAAAATTCTACCATTTGATGGCTGCCACCAAACAGTGATTTTGTGTTTTTTGAGAATCACGTATCATAATCCCACATCTCCTGACTGTGTGGGAATTGTGTCTGATAACACGATTAATTAGAATTTACAAAGAAATTTAAAAGGAGCTGTCAAGAGCTCCAAGTTACCAACACATACAGAATAAAACTGAATAGCAGTTGTGGTCTCTTTATCTCAACAAAAACCAGGGAAAATACTGAAACTAGAAAAGGTTCAAGAAGGGTAGTGAGACATCCAAAGACTAGAAAAGCTTTTGTAAGACAATGAGTATGAGGAAGGAGTAACTGAGAAGGAGTATGACAGAGTCTGTAATCACGAGTGGCATGAACATCACAGGCAGAGATGGACCACGGTTTTCCAAGGCAAGAATTAAAAGGTCAAATATAGGCTGCAACAGCCTTGACCAAAAAAAAAACCCAAACAAACAAAAACAAAAACCACAAAAAACCACAAAACAACAAAACACAAAAACCCCAATAACAAAAACACTATCAAAAGGAGCTGGTTCATGACACAAGGTGTTGCTGAGCCACGGAATCCCTTGGTGACTGAATTTCATAGTGCATTAAAGTAACACAAGAACAGTTCACAGAAGAGAAACTGTCTCAGAGAATTACTAAATATGTGGAGACCTAGCCTATTCCCACTCTTCTCAGACAGCACGGAGGGACCGCTGGCAGGGCTCAGCACCGCCGGGACCCTCCGACACGTGAACGAAAGACGGGGCACAGGCGGCTTCTGGAGAAGGCCCATTTCTCCCGTCCCCTCCAGTGTGTATTGCTCTGAGGGCCCCCTGCAGCCACAATAAACCCGTGGGGGGTACAGGGTGACGCCGGCCCGCCCGCCTGCGCCTCGGCCGACACCGAACCCGGGGCAGCGGGGAGCGGAAGGGGCCGGCGGGCAGAAAGCTCCGCGACGTCCCGGCTCCGGCCTCCGCGCCCCTGGAGCGGGGAGCCCGCCCGCCCTCACGGCGAGCACGAGCGGACGGGCAGGGGGACTGTGGACCGCACCACCCCCGCCCCGCGCCGCGTTCACCTCCCCACTCACCGCCCGCGGATCCCTCCGCGCGCGCGGAGCTCGCCCGGCCGGCCCCGCCCCGAACGCAGCGCGTGGGGCGCGCGCGCCCCCTGCTGGGCGCTACGGCGGAAGGGGGCGGGAGTGGGCGGGGATTCCCGATCCGAGCGGGACACCTCACTCTGACCCTCGCACCGATCCCGGCGACACACGCACTCTGCAGTGGGGATTGCTCGTGTCGCTGTGCCCTCGCCTTCCCCGCTGCACAGCAGTGGGCGGAGCGGCTCCCTCACAGCTGAAGTACGAGCTGCGTGCTGCCGCCGGCGCTGGACGGGCTCCGGCGGCTGAGGAATTCCGCATCTGTGGAGGGACTTCGACAGATACTGAAGTCCGAGCTGGGCTGTGAGACAGCCAAAGGCGCCCGTCATGTGGGAGATGACAGGTTATCTCTCGAGAGAGTGACAAGTGTTCAAAAAGCCACGAGCTTCGGACTTACACCGCAACCCAGTGCCTCAAAATGGTTTTATACACCTGGCTCTCCTGCCCAGGCTTTCCATTTCCGTTAAGCATCAGCAGGTTGGAACGAGCTCGTTTTCTTGCATACTAACAGAAGTTGAGCTGATTCTTAGATACTTGCAAAGGATAGCAAGTTTTAAAATACTTTCCTTGTTTAATTTCATAGAATCTTTGAATGGCTTGGGTTGGAAGAGACCTTAAAAAGCACCTAGTTCAACCCCCTCTGCCATAGACAGGGACACTTTTCACTAGACCAGATTTCTCAGAGCTCCATCCAGCACAGCCTTAAACACTTCAAGGGATAGGGCATCCACAGCTTCTCTGGACAACCTGTTCCAGTGCCTCACCACCTTCACAGTAAAGAATTTCTTCAGAATATCTAATCTAAACTTACCCTCTCCCAGTTGGAAGCCATTCCCCCTTTGTCCTGTCAGTACATAACCTTGTAAAAAGTCTCTCTCCATCGTTATTCAATAATACCTGCATGGTATTATTGAGTGCAGCAAGAAATACTGTAGATACTACAGAGAAGTGACACTTAAAAATATTTCCTGTTTCATGTGTATTTGTAGCACATTTTATGTGAAAAGTGTTTTGTACAGGACTGAAAACGAAAAGATAAAGGAAACTGGGACAGCACATACTCTCAGTCCAGATTTCACAGAGCAACAGTCTACCACTGACAAGTGATTCCTCCTCACCCGAAGAGTTACAGAGATCATGTAAGGGCACATGGCTGTGTGGGGGCTTGAGGGGTAGGCAGGGCAACACTATTTAAGTTATGATACCAGACACTACTTGGCAGCAAACAGACATCTCAAGACCTTGCTTGAATCCTGTTACAAGACAGTTCTAGAAGGAAAGCTTGGAAGGAGCTCGAGTGGAAACAAAAGAGGTTCTCTTGCAATGCATTTTCTTTGGGATGTGAAGACAGACCAACCACAAACATGGGAGCACCTGTAAAGTGCACTGCAATAACTTTCTTATTAGTAATTGGGTTTTATTGTTCCTAATATTTTTTTGCAGGAAGATGTTTCTAGTTAAGCTATCGCCCCTATCCTTTCACTGACAAAACCATGTCACACAGTAGTGACACCAGTGTCCTTAAGATGAACCTGCCTCTTCACTAATAAATTTGCTGTATCAGAAAGTTTTTAAAAACACAGTTCTACCCTGCGAAGCAAGAGCAACTTGTTACTCACATGGCTTTTGTGTTTTGATGTTTATTATTTTTACTTTAGTTTTTCTCAAGTACGAAATTCTATACTTTTCTTCCTCTTGCTGTAGCACCAGCCATAGCCATACGAAAAAGTATAATCAGTTATAATTAATATGATAATAGATTATTAAATTCTAATTGTAGAACCTCTTCTGCTGCCATTAAGCCTAAAATAATTATTAGCTTTTTCCCCCCCAAAATCTCAACAGTTTTAGGGCTGGCAAACCAACTGCACGTTGATTTGGAAGGTAGCCAAGCATGCAATGCTTTACAACCATAAAAGGATTACTTCTAGTTAATGTCAACAGAACATGGATGATGGAAAATAACAGAAGTGGAAACATTCTACTTGCGGAACAACCTGCAACAGCTCACCTTTGTAAGCAAAGCTTGCTGTGCTTTTTCCTTCAACATTGAGCTGTTCTCCTACAAATTCAGAATCAAAGGTGCATTGAAGCCCCATGGGGTAGCTGTGCAGGCCAGGTGCATCACAG